GGCTGTTAGCAACAATTCATGAATCTTTTCTCTGCCCAAGTCAAGCGCTCCTCACTCCAAGCCCAGATTTCGGAGAGCCTCCTTTCTCACTTTGACTTTTAATTTTGCCTCCTTGTGGTTCATTTCCAGAGCTCTCTGGGTGAGAGCTGCCACTGCCGATCCGCTACGAGGGAATTAATAAACGCCCTCATTAAAACATCTCACCGTGGTGCCACGGCGCAGGGATGCACGAAGCCCGCCCTGTGCCCTAACACCGACCCGTGGATCACCAAGAGCAAACAAACCTTGAACTTTGATCTTAATATAACCCTGCTTAGTTGGAGCATTGCCATTTAATAGGCTAAAATTAGGGTAAAGGCTTATTTACACCAAAATCAACCCACTGCATCAATGGGTCCAGCTCTGCTTTACGGTGTAGCTTTCGCAAAGGGCACCGACACGTTAAAAATAAATCAGTTTTTCTTTGTTTTCTATTTTTTTTTCAGTTTTTCCTGACACATCTGGAGCTTTTGTTCCTTATTAACCACTCTTCTCCTCCCAGGTTGAAAACCCAGGCAGACTTCGTTTCATTTTCCTAAGGTCAAGGAAAGAGAAGGAGCACAAAACCAAGAGGAAAAGGCCCTTTTAGGAAGGAACTTGGCTTCATTGATTCCTTTGGTGGCCTGCAGGTGCTCCCTTCCGACTCTGCAGGGTTTTATAAGAGTTTCTTGGGACAAATTGACATCGGGTGCTCACAGCCCTCGCTGTGACTCCCAGGACAAGGCTCTGCTGCCCCACGATGTGCTGAGCAGCTCCCAAGGATAATTTATAATTTACATACGACCAGATTAGGCAGCTCCTACAGGTACCTCTTGGTGGTTTCTATCAGCGAACGCTTTAAAACATCCCCTGGGCACGTAACGAGGCAGGAGGGGAGAGCATTAATGCCTGGGACAGCCAGGGCTGAATTGGATGGCACACCACAAAGGCACCTGAAAAAAAAAAAATAAAAAAAAACACAATAGGGAAAAAAAACCTGCGCTGACAGGTAGGGAGGAGCAGATGAAACGGCCCAAATTCCCTCTGTATCTTTATTATTCCCTCTGCTCTTTATTATTCGACGAAGCCGTTTGATTCTCGGGAGCAGTTCACATCCCTACCCCAACAAAGGACCGGGTTTAGCCTGGCAAAGAAAAAGGCAAGCCTCTGATTTGTATTATCCCCGGGTCTCCTTTTGACAAGAGCTCCTCGGGTGGCGGTGCGAGCAGCGCATTGAAAGCTGCAGGAGAAAGGGTGGGCTGGGGGCCGGGACGGCAATCAGAGGTGGGAAAATGGAAGAGCTCTCGTACCTCGCCGAGACACTACCTCTCGTTTTAGATAATGTGCCTACAGAAGCCCAAAGAAGCCGGATCACGGGGAAACGGCAAGCGTCAACCTCGAAAGAAAGCGTTGCCCAAGAGGAGGCAGGCAGCGAGCGGATTGCTGGCATTACGGCGATGAATGGGAACTTCCCTCCAACGCCAGAGGTGCAAGGCTGAGAATAACTCACTCTGCAGAGTCCCAGGGAAAAGATTTTCTGGCATCACGGCGCTCGGAAGCTGCTCTGGCCTCTCCTGTGATCCTACCTAACGGGAGATAGGAGATGGAGAGAACGGGGACGCGCCAATCCGGGGCTTTTCTCTTCTTTTCTACCTGTTGGAAACAAATCTTCCCCCATCCAGGAGAGCAATGGATGCTCTGCAAAACAACCTTGAGAAGCAGAGATATTTTTTCCTACCAAGAGGGACTCAGGGATGGAGAGCAGAGTTTGGAGAAGGACCCTGAGCAGAGCAGCAA